TTTCTGGATAACTAACTTTGCCAGATAACATGGGTGGAATTAAAGGGATGTGAGATCCATTGTATGGATGCCCAATCTTGCGGAATAAAGGGGGCGAATTTCAAAATTTTTTTCTCTTCCTTGAACTGGGAATCGCATTCCCTATTTAGAAAATCATATTTTCAAGGATCATTCTTGAACCATAAACTGCATCAGATTTGAACCAAAAGGAGTAGGAGATGATTATACTTGATACGAAGAAATAATATCTCCCAACGAAGGTGTTCACGCCCAAGGAAGGATCCAAAGACTGCTCCCACTGAAGATGACGCAGTGTAAGATGGAGCAGAATCAGCAGTGTTTTACTCCGGAGGGCAGATCTACTAGAGTCCAGACTCCATTGGTCTCCATTGAGTCCATTTCTGCTCTTATGGTCTCCACCCACTTCTAGGAATCTATGTCCAATATACCTTCCGCGTAAGTCACAGGATCCTCCTCACTAGTCATAGTTTCCACCAGGTAACTATCCTGGCCATAACTATAACGGACTGGTGGCCTGGATACCCGAGTGGATCTTCTAGGTTGGTCACTACCTGGAACTTGTGGGACATCTCCCACTGCTCCTGAGCTCTCCTCATAAAAAACAACTTCCTGACGATAGGTGTCCAGGAGGTAATCGGTTTCCAAGAATTGTGCATTTCGACTACATAACACTTTCTGCTCACTTGGGTCATAGAATAGGTAACCTACAGAGCCTTTTAGGTAGCCTACAAATAGGCAACGACTGGTCTTAGATTCCAATTTGTCTGCACTCGTTCTTTTAACGTGTGCTGGACAACCCAAATCTTCAAGTGTCTGACACTTGGTTTCTTTCCGATCCAAAGTTCATATCGAATATTCAGAACCGATTTGGTTGGAACTCGATTCAGCACGTAAATCGCAATATCTAATGCGTAACCCCAAAAGGATGTGGGTAACTCTGAGTGTATGAGAAGCGACCGGACCATATCCAATAAGGTCCTATTCCTTCTCTCTGAAACACCGTTAAGTTGTGGTGTAGCAAAAGGAGCTAATTGTGATACTATTCCATTTTCCTTTAAGTAGTCCCTGAATTCGTCAAAGAGATACACGCCACCTCGATCTGATTGAAGGACTTTAATTTCTCTCCCTAACTGTTTCTCGACCTCTTGTCTAAACTCTTTGAACTTTTCAAAGGATTCAGACTTGTGTCTCATTAGGTACACGTAACCAT